CCCCCCCCCCCAAAAAAAAAAAAAAAAAAGTCATTCGCGTTTGTTTGTTTTTCAAGCCCGAGCATGTTAGGGCGAACGTGTTCGCGTTCGCCGGCGAACGCGAACGGCGTGCAACGCAACTTTCGGCAAGGAAAAATGATGCATTACAAATGAGTTACCTTCCAATTCGCCACAAATTCAGCGGCGAAGGTCACAACAAGAATAGTAGTGGTTATAGAACAATCAAACTTCTTTGGCGAAACACAATCCAAAAAAAAACATCGCCAAAAGGAAAATCCAATTCCTTATCGAATTACCTTAAAACTTCGGTGTAAGCTTCGGTGGATCATTCGCCGAAGATTTTGGGGTCTGTTGACCACATGTGAAATCTCTTGGGATTCCCTATTTGTCGTTTTATAAAGAGATGGTCGTCTCACCCCAGATAGAGATGCCTTATCTTTTGTACTTTCTCACTCACATCTCTATCACTCATCTCACATGATAAAAGAAGTCAAAGTTCTAGGTAGATCTCATCATATTCTTTTGCACGAAACGCTTTCTTAATTTTTCCCTCCTCGAACTCGTCGTCCTGATTTTTTGGTACTAAGCCCTCACCTTAATCGGATTCAACGAGCCTTTTTTGTCAAAGTTCCCTTGCAGAAGCGTATTAGTGAGGAGGTACATTCCTCCTATCAACTCATCGTGCCTCTCTACCTGATTAGAACCTTCTTTTATTGTTCTTACCTCATCCACCAGACTATGACTGCCTGCTAGTGCCAATTCTATTATCCACTAAATATCCTTGTCTCCCCATGGATCCTCTTCCTCGAAAGGTTTGAGAACTAACTATACCTTTTGCTCATACCCTCGTGGTGTCATTCATATGGGGTGACCGATGCAATTTGGCACTCGGAGGGAGCACTTGTTCATATGCAGACGGACATCCTCCTCCTGATCAAATAATCCATTAACTGACGACGTATTTTTTACTGCTCCTTTTTCTGGCTTGTTCCAGTTGATGCGACTCAACCCATCTGCTCTATTCTTATTTTCTTGAGTTCTCTCCAATTCGAAGTTGAATATCGAGATGTATGTCAACCATTTGGCAACTGTTGGATCTAATGGAGTGTAATTCTTCAAGGAGCAAGCGAGTGCGATTGGGTCCACTCTCAATATATATCTCCTGCCCAAAATATAATTCATGAAGATTATCAAGCAATGAAGAACGGCTAGAGTCTTCTTTTTAATATGAGAGTAATTTATCGCGATTGTGTTAAGCGTCGTGCTCTCAAATCTCAGCGGCTTCTTCTTTCCTTCAATATCTACCTGTATCAGGACCCCTCTCACGACAGTCAGTCCAGCGTCCGTCTCTATGATGAAAGATCTCATCTCAGTGGCTTCATAGTCTGGCGCCCCCAATACTAAACCTCCGTTTTGAAATTTCACCTTCATTTCTGTCACAACTTTCTCCTGGTCACCCCATACTCATTCCTGATCCTGACGTACTAGCTATCTTAAATGCTCCATCTTGGCAGTAAAGTTTCTAATGAAGCTTCTCCAAAACCCACACGTGTCAAGGAAACTCCTAAAATCTGTTATCGAATGGAGCGGTACTAGCCATTCGATAATTTTGTCCGTCTTTTTCACCTGCGGCCGATAGTCGCTCTCGTTACAGACGAACCTCAAAATGGTAGCTTCCCTCATGCAGTGTTTGAATTTGGCACCACTTGTCGTAAGATTACGTTCTTCTAGCAAACTCAGGACCTTATTAAGGTCATGAATATGCTTCCAAACAAATCGTTTACTCCTAGCAAGACTTTATCTCCTTCCTTCTCTTTTGGCCCCTTTACTACTAAATCATCAATGTACGGTTGTGTGATGTGTGGACTAACTGTTTGCATAGCCCAGATCATATGTCTTTGAACCATTGCCACCGCATTAGTTCATTCTTGCGGGACGATATTCATATGAATCAACCCCCTAGGCGTATGCATTGTTGTCATCGGTCTATCTGACGAATAAACAAGAAATTGGTCGTACCAAGAGTAAAAATCTATAAGCGAAATCGTAGACTTTCCTGCACACGATTCTGACAGTGCGTCCGCGTGAGGCAAACCTCTCGCATCTCACATAGTTAGAGAGTTCAGTCGCTGCAAGTCCTGCACTCACCGCAACACCCCGTTAGGTTTGACAAAACAAAGCCACGAGGATGTGTATAGCCTGCTTGAATGGTCAGCAGCATGCGTTCACGTCTTACCATCCAAATAGGATACCACTTTCTTTTCCTCGTCATGATTGAGGTATCGTGCGCCTCTCAAATTCCATGGCTCATGCGGTACGGTGTGGATCCGAATCATCAGAATCTTATTTACATCCAACCTCCTTATCAAAGGCATAAGCGCGACGTCACTTCATCATCAATTCCACCATTATAACTCTTTCCTGGGGTGACAGAATCCCCGACTCTTCCACTATCAGCTTCTCCTCATTTTTTTCGTTGATACGGCATGGGCCAATCGCGGGATTGAGAGGAAGCTTTACTACTCCCGCTCGTAGTAAGCTTCCTCGTCTTCTGTAACGAGAACGGAAATTGGACGACACTTCTTATTTATTGTCTTGTACCACCTTTGGGAACCCTGCTTGAGTCGTCCCCTAAAAAAAAACGGCTTACTGTTTGTGCTTGCATCATCGCAGAATCTCTTCCTCCTCCCGGAAGTCGATAAGTCAACTCCACTTCCCCAACTTAAGGGTTTTCCAAGATCTGCTCCCTTAAAGCCTTGATGGCCTCTGAGTCTGCCAACTCATGAGTTGCCACCAAGTTCATGGCCTTGTTCACGCCCGTCAAACTGAGTGAAAACACCTTCATCCTTCCTTCCTCTTCTAGCTCCTCTAGAAGCCGTCGCCTCTCATTTTCGGATTCCTCCACTGTGAACGAGTCAGGATTGGGTCGATTCCTTATACTTCTAGGTCCTATGTTCCTGGAGGTCACGATCTCATAGTACTCACATGCAGGATCTCACGTGATTGATCATCGTTCCATCGTGTTTGTTGAAGATTAATATCTCAGTCCTGCACAGGAACGATCTCCCCTGAAGGATGGCGTGGTCCACATCAGGCATGACAAAGAAACAAGTCATTGCCTTTACCTTGCCAACCTCGACGACCACATTCGAAGTCGTCCCACAAAACACCGCCTTACAATTGACACCAAGCAAGATGCCACAAACTGAACGGTCTACCTCCATCCCCAGCCTAAGTGCATCAACTCCCCTGATAATATTCATTCTGCCTCTGTATCTACCATTGATGAACACTTTAACCTTTTCACCACTAAATCCACCATTCACAAGCCACACACTTTCAGTCCATCTTGGTTACAGTTTCAGCCCACTCTGCCTCCTTTAACAAGATCGTACTAAGATGGACATTCGACACTAATCGCCTCGAGAGCCTTCCTTTCAACCCATCACGGAGCTTGGGAGCATACGATTGGATATCTTTCAAGTTTGTAAGGTTATTAAGATCTTCAAGTAACTTGTCCACCAACCGTTCCACGTCAAAACCTTCTTCCAAATGAACCGCATACTTTTTTTTTTTGGCGCCACATCGCGCAGAATCGGTTCGATCTCTTCCTGGGTCATCTCTTCTTCGCCTTTTGCTCCGCTCTCCTGTCCTCCTCTTAGCGAAACCTTTCATCTTCCTCGTCTTCATCATCATCCTCTTCAACCTCCACATGTTTCTTTCTTCGCTTCAGCTCAGGCTCTCTTCGAGGAGGCTCCTGGCTAGCACTTGCCTTCGCTTGGCCCCTAGTTGGGGCTGCTAATGCAGTTCTTCATTGCGTCGTAGGGGGCCTATAGGTCATACCGGACCTTGGGCCTGATCCTACCGTTGCCACTCCAGAGTACCCTTGTCATGCCAATACTGACTCTGGGCCGCACTCATAAAGGAAAACACACATACCTATCAGTTGTTGCTGGTACCTCTCCATCTTCTCCAATAAGTCTTTCATCTTGCCCAAGATTATTGATGCAGGATTATCTTTTTCATCAGAGCCTTCTTCATTTAGCTCGATAATTATAGA